CTCAGAGTTCAAGTTTTAACTCAGAGTTGGTTGAACTTCCTTATTGAAACAGGCCCCAGGTGTGAGAGGATTTGTTTTTTGTTTTTGTTTGTTTGTTTTTATTTGGGGTGAATCGTTTCCTGTTTCCTTGCTTTACTCCATATCAGTTGGTGGCGGTAATGCACATTTCACAAGTTTGCCAACCGCCATAAAATCTCATAAGAAGAAGAAGAAGAAGGTGTGAGAGGAGACAATGAGGGAGCCAAGGGGAAAGGAACACACACACACAAGAGGGCAACAGAGGACAACAGAAAAACATGAGAATTAACATAAATCTAGAAATTACAACAAAACTGGAATTAAACCAATAAAACTAGAAAACAAGGAGCAAAGTAAAGAACAACAGAACCAAGACCATGACACTGGGTAATTAAAAAAAAGTTAATGGAAAGCTTTAACTTTAGCTGCTTGTTTTAAGAAAGATCCCCTTTTTCCACTAGAACCACTTTAGGGCATTTCTCTTCCTGTCGACATGTTTTGAGGATTTTCTAGTAATGAGTTCAACACACTGGGGTTAACAAACAGCAACAGGTGGCTGTTATTGCCATCTCCTTGAAACCAACACACTGGATGCGGCAGCATCATAAGCTGTTGCAAATCTCACTTCCATGTCACCTGTCTCCAAGTCTTATGATCAGTTAGGGAGTAGGAGGAATTTTGACCTTTTAAATACAGAGAGACAAGGCAGCAATGTTTTACTAAAACTGAAGGAAATCATTTAATATAGGAAAGTCAACCATAGCAACAATCTTTTCATCCATCTAAGTGGTTGCAGACCAAGCTGTGTTGCAAACTCTCTAACTAATGATCAGTCAATAAAAGGTTTTGGGAGGTTTGGCAGCCTAACATTTTAAAATTTTCCTGTGTGTCTTTGCAAGACTGCGTCTGCATATCTACATGTACAAGCTCCATGTTTCACACAAATTTGGAAGAATGCATGAATTTCTTTGGTCGCTCAGCTTTAGGATGGCAAGTGATTGTTGCCTTATTGTGCAGGTTTCAGAGGAAATGAATGGGTTGAACCATGCACTGCAAAAAACTGAAATCTAAGTGAGTCAAATTTTCTTAAAATAAGAGCATTTCTTATTGAATTGAGTAGGTTAGAGAGACACTTTGCCAATGGAACGTGACAATTTACATTTAAAAGAATAGAAAACAACTTCGGCCTCTTATTTCAAGTGCATAATATCTAATTATCTTATTCGAAGGGTAAAAATAATCATTCCATTGGCAGATCATCTTTTTTACCTATTCAAATTAAGGGAAATACACTCATTTTAAGAGAATTTTACAATTTTTTAGATCATTCTTTTGCACTGTGGTTTCTTGTTTGCTGAAGGAACTATCCTGAGTTGCACTGAAAACTCAACATCACACTTTTATATTCAACCATTAAATCATTTTAGTCTAGACTTATTATTATGTCATTAGACTGTATTGGTATTGTTTTAAACTATGGCCAAACAGCTTAAATGTAAAAAAACATCACGTCTGCTGAGTGTTACCCCTTTTTTTTTATCAGTAATCTATAGGCTGGTGTTCGGGAATACTTAAGTAGCTTCTGGCAGCCTACTTGGAAAGTGTCACACCCTGATTCAGACTGCTAAATAGTCACAGAGAAGCTCAAACAGCAACTTTTCATAGGTGCGACCAGGTAGGGAACAATGAAGTGTAGCTGAAAACTGATAGGCTCCAGAACCAGTTTAGGGTCAACCTCACTAATCTCACTGTACCAACAGAAAAATAAAGGAGCACAATTTACGTACGTTCCAGATAAAGTACTGAAGACGGACAAGATTTTCAGCCTTTGTTTACAGATATATGAACACATAAATGTATCCATGCTGTCTAAAATAATCAATTATAGTTCTGCATAATATATGTTAAATAGATCAACCAGTTGTTCTTTTTTCTAATTACATAAAAGGGACTGTCAGAGAACAGTAGCTTTCTCTAAAAATAGTTTTAAAAAGAGCATGAATTCTGTTTAACATCTTATAATGATGTGAATAACCTTTTTCTGTATGTTTGTTGACATTTTATGGTTAATATGCCAACGATTAAAATGGTAAAGAAAAAACATGTTTCAAAAACATGTTTGCCGTTTTTTTTATTATTATTATTCATCTTTTTGAATTCAAATCACACGTAACGAGCCGCGACAAAAGCTACACAATCTTTATACTTCCATGTTATTATTCCAACTCCTAAACTAGGAATAGGTTAGGTAACTACTACTACCTATGCTATCCGTAAACAAAATACAAAAGACATGACTATGAATTCAGTATATTTTATGTGATGCATAGAAAACATATAATAGCAAAGTAAAGCACAGAACTGAGATTTTTTTTTTCTTATTTCAAACATTGTACATTAGCAACATTTTAGCACTCTGTTCTAATCTCTAGGTTTCAGCCTGCATCTCTCTCTCAGTCAAACTGAATGTCATATATTTAGCATTAAATCAGTTTTCAGTACAAAACAGATCAAATATTACTATATAAAAATACAATTACAAAGAAAAATAAGGCACAGAATCACCCCATAAAATATAAGCAAAAACAGATATGTAAAATTACAAATAAATATGCTGCAAAATGCAGTATAGAAGTGAGTTGTGTTCTATTTAAAAGAAATATAAAAGTTTCTGCCAAGTTGGAGGTGTAAAGTGATGTTTACAATCTGATGCAGAGTCCAGTTGAGAGTTTAACAGTTCAACAGTCAATTGAAAGACTAAAAAGATACAAATAAAAAAATTAGTACATAATAACTTCTAATTATTTTTTTCCTCACATTGAGTAATGTATAGGACAAAGTAACACTTCTATAGATAATATCTATTGTGAACTGTACATTAACCTGATCTCTGAATAGCTCAAGCTACTTACAGTGGGCAGATTAGTCAGAAATTTTACTAAGCAGAAGTAGCAATGTATCACAAAAATATTGCTCATGAAAAAGTAAAGGTACAGTACAATAAAACTAATCCTGATTGTACATTTTTCTTTGAAAAATGACTCAAGTAAATGCAGCACAGTAAATCTAACTATTTACTACCCACCTCTCTTCTCTCTTGTCTGTCTTCTCAGGAATACTATAGTGAGATGAAGTATGTCAAAACTCCATCTGTTTTGAATAGTTAGACAGCCTGTAGGCAGAGATGCTTATTTAATGATTCTTTGAAAGTGGAAGATCTAAATAAGAGAATTGGTTCATACAGGAATCTTGCTCTCGGTGAGTCCTTCTTTGTGCCGCCTGCGATACAAAGCCTCTTTATTTGTGGAGGCCTCTGTTTTTATTTCATTGAACAAGTGTAGAGTTTCTACTTTCATTACTTCCATACTAATCATAGTTGTCTCTTAATTTTTCAAAAAATGTCAAGCTCAAAAGAAACAAAATAAAAGAAGCTGTTTTTTTTTTGTTTTTGTTTTTTTAATATTGCAACCTATAATAGGTCATAACCCTAAACTAAACTAGAAACAATATGCACATATTCGAAATGACTAATTCTGTCCAAAGTCAAAGATTAGTTCAATTTTGCACACTTGTTGAAATTATAAGTAAATTTCTTCGCTTAAATCTGAAAACAAAAACCTTAGAAAAACATTGTGAACGGAAGATAATAAACAGATGTAATGTAAAACCCATGCGCTTATATTTATTATATTTTCCACATTAATCCTTAGAACTGCTTTCAGTCAACAAGTACCATAGAAAATACTGAGCAATCTATTGTTTCCTCAAAAATCAGTTTTTTAGATCGTCTCTTAGTCTTAAAAAAAACACCTCTCTTTAAAAAAAAATTAATTTCTGTCAATCCTTAAGTCACTGAATTTTTTTGTTGTTGTTTTTTTTCATTTTCAACTCAGTTAGACGTCTCACCTCGTATCGCCACCTACTGGCCAATCGGCGTAAATGCACATTACACATTTGGTCGATCAACCCAAAATAAAACCCCTTAGAAATATATTGCCCTTTTATAATATGAACCGATAAGTTACATAGGTACACAATACCTTTTATTATATGTACTGAAATATTTCACGTCTTTTAAATAAGGTGCTACAATTATTCTGAAGCTAAATTAAATTCTAATTTAATTAAATAACAAACTGCAGTCATTTACTTTTTGTTGGAACAACATCGGATAAAATCTGTTTCTTTTTTAATTAGTCCTGCCTTTCCACAGAGCTAAACATATATATGAATCATTCCTTTATAACGTTATCCATGCTTCTTTTTTTTTATCAAGAAGAAATCCTAATAACTTGTTCATGTTCTAAATATTTGTCATAGCTGTGTTAAATTAGTTTAATCTAGATTTGTAACCCAATAGACACTGCTTTAAATAGTATTTTCTTTTGTTTGTTTTTTTACTTTTTGACTGCTCTTTTCTACATGGTCTGTAGCTTTTATTGAATAAATAACATTTTTTATTTCTAATATATATACACAAATTATGGTTAATGATTTATAAAAATGATTATTAAAAAGCATAATAATAATAATAATAATAATAATAATAATAATAATAATAATAATAATAATAATAATAATAATAATAATAATAATAATAATAATTTACGCATAATATCGTGATTATTTACGACTAGGAGCTTTGCGACACTTGTGCGGTCTCCTTTACGGCACTGTCAGGCGCGGATTTTGTAAACAAAGCTAACGGTGTCATTCTGGCTGAACTCGATCCCGCTCATCATAGTTACAAGGTTTTAAACTTTTATACTTGTTTTCTCAGTTAACCACTTTATTAAAAAAACAAAACCACTATTTTTTTTACCGTAGAAAACTTTTTAGCAGTTCGGTAAACTTTCTAAGAATTGACTTTATGGCTTTAGCTAGCTCTGCTATGTAAAATGCTAGCCCAGCAAAAGTACAGCAGATGCGGGGAGGCTGTGTCCGAGGACAGCCACTGCTCCTTCAGCTGACTGCGGCCAGGCATGCTGATCGCGCACCTCATCGGCAGATCTACGCTTCGATCGGGACTACAGTGGGTAAAGCCGAGCTTTTTCTGGGAGAGACGACGCGGCTGGTGCTCGGACGCAGCAAAGGGGGCAGATATGATTCGTAGCCGGGGTCAAATCAAGCGGGTCCTCTGTGTGGCCGAGAAGAACGATGCAGCCAAAGGCATCTCTGAGATTATGTCCGGCGGCAGAGCCCGAAGGGTAAGTCCCACCTAATTACATCCTCACTGTTCCTGCAGCTTGTAGCTACAATTAAGTCATTATAAACTTACATAGTTTAAAATAGAGTGAACAACAGCAGCACATTTCCATCAGTTGTTGCTGTCAGTAGAGGAATATAAAAATAAATCTATTATTTTATTATAACAGCATTGGCTTTATTAGTTTGGATAACTTATATATTTCTCTGTTTTAGAGGGAAGGATTCTCGAAGTTCAATAAAATCTATGAGTATGAGTATCAACTTTTTGGCCAGGTAAGCAACCAACACATCCACCTCAATATCTTATTCTCCCAGCTTTGATTTCTCATAATTTTTTCTTTATCTTTCATCAGAATGTGACAGTGACAATGACTTCAGTGTCAGGACATTTGCTTGGTCTAGAGTTTAAAGCTCCTTTCCAAAAATGGTAAGTTTAAACAAATATACCTTCCATCCAATATGTTCACCTCATTAAAGAGTTAAAATATCTGAGGTTGTTTACTTTTCTTTCAAGGCACAGCTGCAATCCTGTGTTGCTGTTTGACGCAGAAGTAGAGAAGTATTGCCCAGACAATATGACACAAATTAAGGTATGTCAGATGAAAGTTAGATGAAAATAAAACACTTAAAATATTCACTCTGCTTTACATTAAACATCTAAGATCCTTCATTTTTTCATATGAAGAGAATGTTAACTCTTTATAGGGCACTCAGGAAAATACTTGGAAAATCAAAATTTCAACAGGGTTTCTGAGGGTCATTAAAAATCATTAAAAGTCATTAAATTATTATTGTTTAAATTAAGGCCTTAATTGGCCTTAAAATTCATTAAATGTGTTTATTGTGGCATTTAAAATGCCTTATTAAAAAAAATGTTTATAAAAACTATTTTGTCAGACATATTATATCACGATATATTTGCGTGGAACTGCTTCCGGTTGATCGCAAAGCTGTATGTTAAACTTGAGTTGGAGAAAAAGCTAGAGAATGGGGGGGATAAAGCAAATTACAACAAAAGTGGCTGGAAAACGAGGAATTCGGGACATGGCTGCAGCCTGTCGACGGGTACCTGTTGGTGGCATTGAAATTATTTCTAAGAGCATTTAAAGAGTATTAAAAAGCATTAAGTTAGAGTTATTCATTCCTGTATAAACCCTGTTCAAGCCAATGGTGTTATTAGAATCCAGGACAAGACCTTATTATTATCCTTGTAACATTCAAAAAATATGGGTATTTTAATGGCAAAAATCGATGTCAATGTAATAAGATACGCCATCTTGCCGAATATATTAAGAAAATAATAAAGTGCTTCTATTAGGAATTCATGAAAAACACTCTGAGAGTTAAAGAAAAACACATTTTCTTTGGTCCAACATAACCTTAGAGGCATTAATGCTGATACTGGCACTTACATTTTTTAATGTATAACCCTAAATATAATTGTTAACTAGGTTTATTAACTTTTGAACTTTACTTTTGAACTTTTCAATTAGCTTTTTTTTTTTCAACTTAATTTACAGTAGGTAATATATCATTCAAGGGCTCAAATAATTGGTCAAATGCCAAAAAAAGATGCACAGTCATGTAGCAGGATCTTTGCTGAATGGCAGGATATAGATCTTATGCTTCTAGACCTTACTGAGGGGACTCCATTTGTAAGGAATATGCAAGTGATCAAAAACTGTAACTTGCCCTATAAAGGGTTAAAGAAAGTCCCAACAAGGATCTGGCAGTATGCTATTCAGTCTTTTTTGCTAGTTAAAGAACATTTAAATCAGTAATGTTTTAACATGGTTGTATTACTTTTAGCTGATGATTGCATATATTGTTTATAAATAAGATTCTAGGCAGAAATTATTTCATGCAATATGCCAGATGTTAAAAGTTTTTGTTTTTTTTATAAATTGACTGGCAATATATAGAACACACTTCTGCTAGTTTAGGCATTGGTTTCCAATATTATTTTGGCAAATAATATACCTTTTTGTTGTTATACTCTTCGTAACAAAATTGTAATATCCTAATATAAGCTGGGTCTTCAGTCAAAAAATTGCCAACAGTACTTTTAAAATCGTAAAAAAAAAAAAAAAGCACAAAAGCAACAACTGATCCTGCATTTCGTTATGCTCCATCCGCTGAGGGAAAACTGGTGCACTTTATATGCCAGCTAGTTAGACTTTACACTTTAAACTAAATTAGCGGTACTCTGATCATTTGTCTCCATTTTTGGGTGATCAGAGATTGATTGGGAGGAAGGTGGAAACCTCTCTCCAATCCACAAAGGCACAAATTGTAACCCTTTTGCTCTTTTTTTCAAAATGAAATGGAGGGTATTTCAGCTAAAACCAGTGCCACCATCTTTGTTGTACTTCAGCCTGCAGCTTTTGGTTGTTGCATTTCTTTAGTTGTAAATATATCTGTATTCAAGGCTAATGTATCTATTTGCTTCTGGTGTGATATATTTTGTGAGTTTGTAAATTCACAACTCTCACAGCAATTCATTTTTTTTGCAAGGTAACTTCTCCCTTGTTAAAAAATAAATAAATAAAAAAAATAATGGTTTAGTTGGGGGGTGTGGATGAAAAACTGAACTTTACTACAAAAATAATGTGCAACTATCAGCATTTCAATCCATCTCTTTATTACTGTGATCAATAATCATGTTTTATTCCCCTCAGATTGAATCTTCTATTATTTAAAAAGAATATAAGTTCTTTCTTCCTTTTCTTTAGTTTTGATGTCATTTTCTGTCGTCTGCAGCGGACCCTTGAGAAGGAGGCGAAGCAGTGCCAGGCGCTAATCATCTGGACCGACTGTGACCGGGAGGGAGAAAACATCGGCTTTGAAGTCATTGATGTTTGCAAAGCAGGTATATCAGGAATGTGTTGATATCAATACTGACAGAGGCTGCTGAATGTTTATACAGGTTTTCATATTTGCACAACCCTTCAGTTATTATTGTTTTGTTTTTATTTAGTGAAACCCAATTTGCAAATCTTCAGAGCAAAGTTTTCGGAGATCACTCCTAACTCAATTCGAAGAGCGTGTGAGACGCTAACCGAGCCTGATGCTAACGTCAGCGATGCAGTTGATGTCCGACAGGAGCTGGATTTGCGGATAGGTAAAGGATATTTCTCCATTAAAGAAAGCGAAGCTGAAAATGAAAACTCATCTTAGTTATTTTTTAAGCTTGTGTTGTAACTTTAAAGACGTACCCCCCATCAGTAGAGCTGCCAGTATTAACCTTAACCTTTCCCTGATCCTCTTCAGGAGCATCTTTCACTCGGTTCCAGACGCTTCGGCTGCAGAAGATCTTCCCTGAATCCTTGGCTAATCAGCTGATCTCATACGGTAGCTGTCAGTTTCCCACCCTTGGATTTGTGGTGGAACGCTTCAAAGCCATCCAGGCCTTCATACCCGAGACATTCTACAAGATTAAAGGTAAATAAAAGTTGATTGATTGCATCAGGTTTAAAACTATGACATTAAGGTCAAGCCTATCCTGTGTTTCTGTTTCTGTTCCAGTGCTCCATGAGTTAGAAGAGGACAGTGTGGAGTTCAGCTGGAAGAGAAACCGTCTCTTCCATCACACTGCTTGTCTGGTGCTCTATCAGATCTGCATGGAGGTATGTGCCTGTCTTTGAGCATGTAGTGTCATCAGGGGGCTGCTGATCGTAAAGTACATTAAAAATCAGTTTGTAACCGTTATGTGCTTTACTTGATTTACTCTTTAAACTTTATTTGATCAGCAAGATTTTATATAAATCCAAAACAAGGAACACATAATGTTCTCTACAAAAACTTTTCTGAATCAAATCTGAAAAGTGTGGCAAGCATCTGTTTTCAGTGACTTTGGGTGAATACTGACAGTATTTATGAGCAGCTCTGCTCATCTGGTCACCTTAATTCTCTCTTTCTTCAGCCATGGTGGGCCGGTCTTTCTTAGTTGATTCACAGTTTTATTTTTTTCAACCTTTATAACCAAACTGTGGTTTAAACTTTATTATTATTTATTATAAAACTTTATTTAACCAGGAAAAAAATACCTCTGAGATTAAAATACTCTTTTTCAAGGGAGTCGTAGGCAAGAGGCAGCAGAGTTGCATATTGAACATTAAAACATTGAATGAAATGACAGGTAAATAAAAAACATATCAAGTAAAAACAATGACAGATAATTGAAGGCATTTTTAATTCTTTAATTTTAAACTTTAAAGAATTAAAGGATAAAAACTTAGTCAACTTCCAGTATCTTTGTAAAAAAAAAAAAAATCCACGTACAAGGAGCTGCATAGATAAAGGCCTTCTTCCCGAGCTCTGTTCGGGCAAAAGAAACAGTGAGCAACAGCTGATCGTTGGATCTCGGTGCATTTTTTTTTCTGAGTTGTCTGCGGTGTTTTCTTGGTTTTCATAATACTTTTTATCCACTTATGTTATAAAAAAATATATGTATTTGGGTTTAAACATATACCCGTTAATAGCCTCTGCAGATTTTAAGGCCCCATCCACAGAGAGACAAGAATAAATCTAATCACAATTGTTTATTCTTGTTTAAGTTGTGCATCAAAACGAATGCAACATTTTGGGAGAGCATAAATGATATTTTTTTTAAACCATGTCCCAGGATAGAAAGATCAGCTAAAGTCAGTTAATTTTTTAGTGTCTCCATGCAGGCCAAATACAGTTATTTTGTGGCCAAGATTATTATTGTTAACTAAAACTAACAAAATAATAAAACATTTTGTTAACTGAAATAGAAGGAAAAAAAAAAAGAACAAAGAGAATTGACTGAATGGTAAAAGAATGTGCTGAGTTTTCATTGGTGTGCCATTATGCAGTGATATAAGGTCTAAAGTCCGGTTGCTGTTTTCGCTTAATTTTTTATTGTCGTAAAGCATTACAGCAGCAAATGGCAGGTACAGCAGTCAGGTCAATTGTGCAACTGTGTGTCCTAATCTGGGATTTTATTCCTTTGTCCTGCCAAGTCCAGTATAACTGAAAGTAAGCATTTTCAATAAATAAAACATAGCTAAAGTAGCTAACAATACAAATAACTGATGTAAAAATAAAGTAGAATAAAAAAAACTAAATCAGAAGTCAAAACAAAACATTTAAAAATGTCGCTGTTTTTATTTATTTATTTATTTTTTTTTTTTTACTTAGTTGTCTGCACATTCCCAGTGTTCTAATAGATCAGGTGTGATTTTGTGGCAGTGCCACAGCTCCACCAAATGGCCCGGCATGTGTACTACAGGGTGTACATCAGTACTTTTTTTCTAAGCCGTTAATGAAAAGATACCATGATCGTTTTTATGGAAACTTGTTCCAAACAATTTTCGGAAGCCCCAAATTTATTGTCATTAATTTTATTGACATAAATCCATCCGAATGGGAAAATCAGCATCTTAACCTGATGAAGGGTTTTGTGTCCCGCTATGACCCTGATGGTGATGTCATGAAATGGTGATTAATTAAAGAGCGAGCGTGTGTTTCTTGCCATTGATGTCACCACTGGAATATATTAATGCATTTTTTTGATCTAGTCCGTCCTGATTTTTGTTTTTTGTTTTTTTCTTCCTGCACCGTTAAAGAACCTCTAAGTAAATCGTTGAACTCCAAAGGGATGGACAATCATCGGTTTATTGACACAATGAGCTAACTGATGATGTTTGCTACTTTGGCTTTTTTTTTATCTGCGTCATTTAAGGTAGGTGTTAGGATCTGATTGATAAATAATTTCTTGAAAGTTTTTTTTATCTCTTTGATTGTACAATAAAAGAATGGAATGAATTATTTCACATATTCTTATAAGAAACTTACAGTGTTCGTCAGTTTGTCCAGTAGGTAAACAACTTCATCAGACCAACAATCCCAACCTCAGCAACACATCTAAATCACAGAGGCTGAAATAATTACGACATAATGAAATAGTTTCCAGTAAACCATCAGTAGTCATGCTATCACCCCCATCCACTTTGTATATGTACAATTGTCTGTTTTTCTTATTTTGTGCTGAGACTGATGCTGGATCATCTCCCTAAATCTCTTGTTTGTTGATCCAGCTTTAGCTCGTTTGAGCTCTAAATCCCGAGCGGTTTCAGTCACTGACGACAGAACAGAAGTGGTGTCGTTTGAAACCAGGCGCGTCATCAGAAGAAACGCTTATTGTCTCCCAGCGAGGCTGACGAGCCCTGTAATTATCCCTCGGATTGTTTTTTTTTTTTCGTTCTACTTCTTCACAGTTTCCCACAGAGCAAGCCGAGCCGTGAGTGTCAGGAGGCAGAATTGGGGCAGAGCTCATCAACGCTGTTAGGCTTCGCATCACAGACTGAATATTATTATTGTTCAAGGTTAACTAGCTGAGCTGCAGCTACCTTTCACTGTAGTGGAGATAAAAACGTGAAAAATAAACTCTTGAAAAGCTTTTACACCAAATTGCCTGATTAAAAAAAAAAATAAAATCACATTTACATAAAAAAAAAGTTACTGTAGTGTTTTATTATAGCAGCTGCCAAACCCTGATTATCTGGATCCTGAAAGCGGGCTAACATCAAGTTAGTGTCTGATCTGTTTGTAATTTATTACTGATGTGCCCTCATAGACTGCTTGCACCAATCTAAGGGGACTAAATAAAGATGAACAACCATCTTTTCAAATCAAAAGTACATTTATTTCCTTCTTTGTGCTTCAATATCACTTAAAGTCTGCTTATATCACATATGAAAAGGCTTGTGTGGGGTGAATACTTTCTGCATCAGGCCTCTGGGGTTTCTGTAGGTGCGCTGGACCCCCTAGACCAGTGGTTCCCAAAGATTTTCTTCTGGGCCCCCCTTTGGATAATAATAAAATTTCCACGCCCCCCCCAAAAAAATAATAAAAATAAAATAAAAAATAAACTGGGCACATACATCGTTCAACCAGAAATAATAAACCTATACACATAATTTGTTTTCAAACCCTGCTGAAGTTTATTTCACACTTCAGGTTGCAACAAAACAAACTACACACCATCTTTACAGTGGAACACTTTTGTGTAACTGTATTTTTTTCATAGTTCTATACTGTAGATTAGAAGAGGATTCTTTGTTGTCTGTGTTATTTTAAACATATTTCTTTTTTTCTTTTTGTAACAATATTTAACTTTGCTATCATCAATACATTAAAAAAGCCTCTGTGCAAAATGGAGTGAAAACATTGAACAGCTCCCAGAGAGTTTTTTCTTTGTACTTTAATCCTCCCATCTTTTTAGTGGTTGTAGTGAGCCTGCTTGTTGCTGCAGATCTTCTCAAATCTGAGTTGCAGTTTCACAACTGTCCATTATGCTCAGTCAAGCAAGCACTGCTTTTTTTTCTTCATTCATCCATACCACTTCCCGCGCCCCCCCTGCAATGGCCCCCTAGGGGGCGCGCCCCACACTTTGGGAACCACTGCCCTAGACCATGGATCTGCAAACTGTGGCTCTGGAGCTGCAAGTTGCCCTTGGGACCTCTACATAAAGCTCTTAATAGTGACTTATAATTGGATAAAGAACCAACTAATTTACTATAATAAATAGAAGTTTTATTGCTTTTTAAAGACCGTTTGATTGGATTTTCATAACAGTGGGGCTGCAAATAAGGATTATTTTGCAAATGGATCTGTTGATTATTTTTTCGATGAATCGATTTATAATCAGATAGCCAAAGGTTCCTTAAAGAAGATTTTTCACTAAATTAAACCAGGTGAAACTAATTTTTTTTTTTACTTGAGGAGTTCTGGATTGAACATATTGACAGATTAAAACATTTTCTTGTTTTTTTTTATCTTAAATGCAAAATCTTTACATATTTTTTACAATCTTGG